TGGCTGCCAAAGCCCCCGGTGAGGCCGCGGTAGCAGGAGATGCCGCGGTAGGGGGCGGCGGTGATGCAGCAGCGGCCGGGCCGGGGCCCGCAGGCTGAGGCGCAGCTGAAGGCACTGCCAGCACAGTAAGATCCACAAGTCATGTTTCTTTGAGGCACAGGCGGTTCTGAGGAGGGAGAGGTCGTAATGGAGGGTTCACTGGATGAGGTGTTTACCTCTCGGACATCTTTGGGCCTTTTATATATGTGGGGAGCCTGGTGCGTCCACGGGTTAGGAGCAATTACATGTCTTTTATGGGCTTGGGTTGTGTAGCTGCTGTCGCTCCTCCCTTAATATGCTTAATTGGGGGCCAGCTGCAGCCAGGTGTTTATGGCTTTTTACCCTAAAGTGCAAAATTTTTATCTTCAAAGAGCCAACTCACTTCCCCCACACCCACTCCAATCTCCCCGTGCACAGTTGGGGAAACTCAGGCATTGGAGGATAGGGGAACAGTGACTCAGCTTGGAATGGAAGGGAAAGGCGGGGCTGCGGCTCCTCCTGTACCGCCTTCATGTGATGACGTAATGCCGCTGTCCGTGGTGCTGATCGGAACGGCGCCAGGAGCACTAGGGGAGTGTGAGATTGATTAATAGATGATGTGGAACTTGGGGTGCCTTCGGTAATTTTCCTCACATGGTGGCCTCTTTATGCACTGCCAAAGCCCCACACTTACACAATCTCTCACTCTCAATCACACACACACACACACACACACACACACACACACACACACACACACACTATGCACTCATGCTGGCCTTCCCAGCCACAATCTCACACACACAATGACGTGCTCATATGCACACCCTCCTACCTCCTCCACCCTTACACGCCAACCAGTCTCTAGGCCAACTTATTAGACCTTCTTGGCCAGCTTTTGCTGAAAGGAGGGATTCCCTCCCTCAGAGTCTTCCATGAGACCCAAGGGAGGCACACACTGGCTCACTGGCCTTAGGAACACCCAACAAGTCCCTAGCAAGGATAGTATGTCTGGATTTCACCTCAAATATCTGTGTTTCCTCCAGGGCCTAGAAGGCCATGTTATGAGACTGCATGGTATTTGTATCAGAATATAATTGGATCAACCTCAGATAGAGCCACATAAGGGAAGCACCCAGCCCCATGCCATCATTCCCATAAGTCTGTGCTGCTTTCCATTCTATACCAATCCTGCTACCCCCTTCCCTTTACAGCAGTTTGTCAGCAACCTTGGCAGATGTCACAATAGATCCTTATTGATGTGTGCTGTCCATCCAGTGTGGATAATGTGGACCTTCAACCTCAAAAGGCTGGGTAGGAACCAAGGCTCAGCCATGATGAGCTCAGTGGGATCTGGGGGCAAAGCACTTCACTCCTCTAGGAAGTGGAGTAAGCCTTTTCTTCCCAGTGCTACCTTGGAGAATTACAGAGATGTGCATGTGCTCAGTAAACACCAGAGCACAGGGCAGATGTACTTTATTGTAATTAGTAAGAAACAGGAGACTCGGGGGCAGCATTATTTTCAGGGTTCACATTGTAACCCACTCATGGAAGCAACCAGAACTTTAACGAAATACATTAGATCAAAATCAAGTAGAAGACTAAAATAGAAAATATCAGAGTGCATCATATGTAGTAAGGATGATATTTCATGACCTTTTTGTTTCAATTGTTTGTGGTGTGTATGTATGTGTGTACTTAGTCACTATGCAAAATCATTTCTTAATAGGATTAAAACTAAAAAATTTAAATACATGGTATATCAGTTAAAAACATAGACACAGATTCCAAACTGCCTACTTTCACAATGCAGCTCTGCAACTTTCTAGCTGTGTAGCCTCAGGCAATTACTTAACCTCTCCATATCTGTCAGAGACACCATTGTGTCTGTCAATGAGAGCCTCCTCACACCCCTCAACCTGAAGATCGGCCCCAACACCCAGTGCGTGAAGCATGAGGAGAATGGGGATAATAGCACTCACCTCATAAAGTTGTTGTAAGGATTGAAAGACTTAATCCATGTAAACCTCTTAGAGCAGAGCCTAACATATTCTAAGTATGTAATCATATTAGTAGTAGTAGTTGTTGCTGCTGCTGCAGTAGTTATAGTGACAGGTTTGGTGGAGAACTAGGAATATGTGTTACTGATGTTGTTGTTGTTGTTGCTGCTGCTGCTCCTGCTGCTGCTATATCAGCAGGTTTGATGGAATATACCTACCCACATTCCTAAACCACCTATGTAAAATTCTCACTAATGTTGCCTATCTTAAAGAACTAGTAGAAGGATTAAATTAAGTAATGCATGCACAGACAATGCTTGACACAGCATCTGGCACCTAGCAAGTGCTCAGCAAATGTTATTCCACCATGGGGGTCAGTCCAAGGGGCAGGGAGAACCTGAGACCTTTGGCCACGGTTACTTCCTGGAAAAAAAAAATCAAATGCCCTCCTTCAACCTCCACTGTAGCCCAGCTGCCCCAGGGAAGGCCCAATTTTCTCCTCTTAGGCAAAGGGAATATGTCACCAGTCCTTGGGCAACCACACTACTGGATGATAAGAGAATCTTGGATAGTCCAAAAAGTCTGTTATTTGTGAATAATTCATAAATTTGTATTTAGCCTTAACAGATCATCAGAAATCCTCATGATTTCTGATAATAATATAATAACGCAAGCCATAAATCAATGTTGTGCTCACTCATTGTGCTTTTTACCTGATCCTGAACCCTCCTGATTGGTCAGTAGCCCGGGGATATCATGGGGTTGAGGATGAGGGATATGTCATTAATAACCCAAACAAGCATAATGGAACTCCAAAGAGCAAGAGACGTCAGGCTTTCACTGTAGCTGGACAAAAGGAAGTTGGAGTTGAGAAAGAACTTCCCAGAAGGAGGGCAGGTAGTCATGGCTTCCTAAAGGTGCTTGCATTATGCCCCCCCATTTAGGGAAGCTTTATATAAAAGAGAAACACGCATTATTCCGGAGTGGTCACCATGTTTGTGGAGACAGAGTGAACCAAAAGGCCTTCATATCTGGAGATCAGAACCTCTTCTTTTAGCCCAAGTGGATCTTGTTTCAAGGGATGTCTGAAGAAAAAGGGGAAATCAGGTGGCTTTAACATTAGGAAGTTCTTGTCAGTTCATCTTGCTCCTATGGAAGATGTTATAAGGCAGATTCCCCGAGATGGATGATGGGTTAGACTAAATAACATTTTGTTGGGGGATTCAGCTATCCTGTGATTGACATATCCCTGCCATATCCTGAACCCTATCTTCATTTTAGAGAGCAGGAGGAAGGCACTAAGAGAAGGATGGAGATTTGGATTTTGGAGCTCCCTATCTGACAGGGAAGACAGACACACATACATAAGAAAGACCAGAAATCTGAAGAGGGCTGCTTTTCATATGTACCATCAGATGCTCAGGAATGCAGTGCCTACTGACAGGGCCCATTCTGGGGCAATGTGGACCGCAGCTAGTCTGATGGCACAAGCAAAAATGTCTCCCTGAAAGGATGAAGACAAGTTTCAATAAAGAGGCAAGTGGGCCAGTATTGGTGCATACGTGTACATGGAGGAATTTCAGAGAGTAGGTGGACAATAGAGGCACCTGACGGCCTTTGCAGGAAAGAAAGGGATTATGAAAAGCTGTGATGGTGGAGAGCCAGTTAAGGCTGAGACCTTGGAAGCAGGACCAGTGTCATTTCTGGGATTCTGCTCCATGACTGTGGGCTGGGAGGCAACCTGTGGGCTCTATATCTGGAGGACACCAAAATATTTGCACATTAGTTTTGCAAGTATCCAAGAGGCCATGCCCTTTCTAACCTTGCAGCTCATGCTTTCTGTTCACAGAAAGCAGGTGCAGGCCAGGTTCCAGGGAGAGAAATTGAGCGGTGAGGGTGTGGATGTTTACACAGCACCTGAACTGCTAATGAGAGAGTTGACCTCAGGTCCAGCCACCAGACAGGGTGGTTGGGTTGGTGAATTGAGGAGAGGCCCAAATCAGAGCTTTGCCTCCTCAGCCAAGACAGCCTGTGACAGTGGCCTATTATCTGTGAGAACTCACCGGAGAACAAGGAACCAAAAGCCCTCATGGACGTCCTGAGGGAAATGAAACCTGACTCAGGAGTTCTGCCCTTGGTGAGGTCCATCCCAGTAACCAGGCTGAGCTCCTGTACCTCCCCATCCCATGTCCCTTCATTGCTATAAAGCTGGAGCCAGGGTAGCCCACCTCTTCGGGTAGGTCTGCGCCTTGCCCTCAGTTCTGCGTCCCTTCCCCTATCAACCTCCTCTTCCTCTGTGCTCCCACCCTCTAAGTGTCCCACCACCATTCTCCCCTGGGTCTTCTCCCCATTGTTTCTCCACTGTCCTCTACTTCCCTCTGTCTCCCCCCCCCCCATCTACCCTCCCTCCCATCCTCCTTGCCCCCGAGCCAGTCTTTGTTCTTTTTCCAAGTGACCCTGGAGAGTAATAGTCTAAAACTAAGCACTTTTCCCTCCTTTTTCCTTGAAATCTATCTCCCATCCACTTTTCTCTTTCCTTCCCCAACCTGACCCCCAGTTTCTACTCTGCCCAAGGCCTTCAGGATTCTTGCCCGTGTTGGCTGGCTTTCACTACCACCCTCATCATCACTTAGGTAAAGGACTTTGCTTTGGTCAAATACACATCTACTCACTCCATCTCTCCTTCACGCCCCACCCAGGAATATCTCCCTACCCCACCCCCAACCCCAGGAATGGCTGCCCTCTGGCCCACTTCATCTGATCCCCACCCCATCCTACAGAAAGCTTTATACAATTAACCACCAAGCTTGATGGCTCCATTACTCAGCACTTAATATGCAGCTGGTATTCATTTTATTCATTCAACAAATATTTATTGAGCACCTACTATGTGCCAAGCCCTTGGAATATATCCATGAACCAAACACTTGTACTTATTGGTGTGTCACAGGGTTTGCATTTTTGTTTATGATCTGGGTATGTATCCAGGTTTTCTCTTAAAACTGGAAACTCACAATGAACAAAGGCGAGTGCCCCTCCATTCTCTGGTCCTAACCCTGACAGCACTCTGAAGGGCCCAGAACAGGGTACTGGAGGGAAGGGATTAGTGAGTGTGTGTGTTAATGTGTTATATGCAAACACAATCTACTGTGTGATACTTTTAATGATGGCAGATAGATGAGAGTGCAATGAGATAAACTCATCCTTCCACTGGGATAAAAAAAATCCAGGCTCTGAGCACCAGCTCTGCCACGAAGCACACAACCTAAGCCAGTCTTTTAACCTCCTTAGGCCCCAGTGTCCTCGTCTGTAAAACTAGAATAACACCTGCCTCAGAAGGCAATCGTAAAAATTAAATGTATGAATGCACGTTGGGCTCTTAGTATAGTATATAGTATGAAAAAGATGAATATCAAGAAACGCTATTATCTCTTAAGCTTGAAGAATATTCATAAAATAGTTATCTACACCAAGCATATACTACTTGCATAGTTTCAAACATAACCATATGCTTTAGAAAAACTCTTGCACAAA